CTCAAAACTGGATTATAGATGGCAGACAGTTGGTGTCGTAAACCACCGCCTCTGTTCAAAGATGGTCGCTCACAGTGGACATAGATGGCTTCCTTCACTCCTCTTTCAAAGAGTTTAAGAAGCTTCTGATAGGTTAGTAGGGGCCATGTGATTAAATTGGTGGCACACCTGTGGATCCATATAAGGTACCCCCAAAACACAGAGCCTGTTTCTTTGTCGTGGGAAAATCAAGAGATATGAACCAAAACACCAGGAAAAGAATTGTGGACCTCCATAAGTGTGGCTCAATTTTGAATACAGTTTGGTGCCATTTGCAATTACAAAATACATACAATTTCTCTCTTTACTCTTATATTTAACAAATATGTTTTTTTATATTTTTCAATCAAAAAAATAAACATTTAGTGTGATTTGATGTTTTACAATTTGAAAAAAAGATTCTGGTTCTGAGTAAATTGGTGGGAAATGGTGGCCTTAAGTAGTCCTGAATTTACTGTGAATTAACTATTGTAGTCCTGTTTTAATTCCAGATCTTTTTTGAACATAACTCAAAACACATTTCCTGAGGTCAGATGGCCCAGGATTTGAGGGGGCTCAAAACTAGATTATAGATGGCAGACAGTTGGTGTCGTAAACCTACCAATAACAACATAACAATATTCAATGTGAAGCTTTGAGTGTAAAAAAAAACATGTGCTTCCTGAAATAATTGTAGCTTCCACCTTTAAAGGGCTGAAGAGGAAGATGTTTACAAGGAATCATTTAGAATATTTACAACTGACTGATTATCTGAAACTGTGTTTCTGATTGAAAGAGAAAGACATGTACAGACTGAACTATCTGTTTAACAGTGTTTCATCCTAGGTCAGTGTTTCTCTAACAGGAGGAAACTCTGTACACTCAACTCGGCGCAGACACACTGAGGAACCAGGAAACCAGACTGTAAATCCAGGATAAAGAGGTTCAGTGAATGTGGTGTTGAAGGTGTGGAGGTGAATCAGAGTGTCAGAGGAAACTCTGTAGAAGGACAGAGTGCCAGCAGGACAGTCCACATACACTGCTACTGTGTTAGAGACAGAGGAGGAGGATTGCAGATATGTTTCTGTGTTACTGTGTAAGACAGAGTAACCCTTAACTTCAGAGCAGAACAGAGACCAGGACTGATCATTCCTTCCAAAGACAAAGGCATTGCTGTCTCCGTTTTTTGAAATTCTTCTGTAACTCACCGATATATAAACCTCTCCTTTCCACTCAACCTCCCAATAACAGCAACTGGTGAGACCCTCTTTAGATAGAAGCTGACAATCACCATCAAATCTGTGTGGATGATCGGGATATGACTGATCCTCCTCCACACGTGTCACCCTCCTGTTGTTATCAGACAGTTTGAGGTTTCTGTTTACTGTGTTTTTGTCGATTGTGAGTTGACAGGAATCTGATGGAGAGAACAAACACAGTCCAGCTGCAATTATTGATCCATCATCTGTTCATTGATTGACAATTTGATGGTGACAGATGTGAATGACTGATGTGCCAGTTTAAAGATGGTTAAATGTGTGCTGCTTTGTTTTCATGAATCACATTAAAAACACACTTACACTTTCTCAGACCTGGTCTCAACCATTGTTCTCCAGCAGGCTCCAGAATGACCCTGAAAGGAGGAGGGGGTCAGACCAGCACAGTCTCTTTCAGCATGCACACATGGACATTACATCGCTCTCATACTGTTAGACACTGATAAAGGAAGAGCCAAGATTTTCAGATATACACTTTAATCCATTTGTGTATTGAAGAGCATTTCATGTAAAGATAAATTTGTATGACCCTTTAGTTCCCCGACTCATTACTTTTAGGGAGGTGCTTCAGTCAGTAGGAATAATACACATGTGCCATTTATTAGTATCACATGTTAGAAGAATACTCCCGCCTATAATATTTTCCACATTTACTTTTTTCTCACTGCGTGTAATGAACTTTGGCTTTCTGATATCTGCCAAAATAAAGTTAGCGTTCAATAGTGCTCTTTTTCTGAGTTTAGGAGATAAAATCAAAAGAGGGAAACAAGAAGGACATGAAAATACAGAGCAATGGGGCCAACGTGACACCAAGCAGAGGAAGACAGAGGACATAAGTACACAGAGGATAGCGGATGGAAAACAGGGGAGAACACAGCTGCAACAACAGAACAGGTGAAACAAAAATAACAGTCAAAATAAAACAGGAAGTATGATAACTATGAACACAAACACTAAGACACAAAGGTATGACACTGGGAGAAACAGACGTGGAACAAGACTGACTGTGGAGAAAGAAAGGAAACACCAAACAGAGAAACAGGAGTTAAGCAAAACAAAGGAAAGAGAGCAATACGGATTGTGAAGGACAATACAGACTAACCAATTACTTAAACACTCTCTCTCTCTTAAGAGAGAGAGAGAGAGAGAGAGAGAGAGAGAGAGATTTAGCAAAGAAAAAAAACTCCTCTATTAGACATAATCTTTGGCTACAAACAAGTCTCTCCATACCTGAGAGTTTCCTGTCTCAATTTCTCAAGCAGAGTCACTCCTGCATCTCCAGGATGATTGTAGCTCAGGTTCAGCTCTTTAAGACGTGAGGAAGGGGAGCTCAGAGCTTTTTTCAGCAAAGAGCAACCTTCTTCTGTGATCATACATCCTGACAGGCTGCAGAAACATGACATACTCATAGAGAAGTGTGATGCAGTTGACTAACATTATTTTGTAATGAAGTAGGATTTAGCACTTAAAAACTAAAGTCTACAGTTAGCAAAACCTACATAAAGTAGAACTAAGGCTAGTGGGACTGTTATTAGTTTACAGGCATTTGGTCATAAGTAAATTTATGCAAAGACTAGAATGTTGACCAGATAAAGACACTAAGTTAATTTACAAGATTATTTAAATCATTATTCAATCCAAGGATTTATAAAAATTTGGAGCAAATTTGCCCACAAAACATCTAATCTTTGAAATATTTTAAGCCAAAGCACAGTAGTGAAAAGAAAAGAAATTATTATTATTATTGTTATTATTGTTATTATTATTGTTATTATTATTGTTATTATTATTGTTATTATTGTTATAATAATAATAATAATAATAATAATAATAATAATAAAAACACTGAAGGTTCTACTTTACAGAAGTAATAATAATAGATACTTTGATAAATTCCAGTAGACACATTCCCTCATAGCCTGACTCAAACCAGATTTTAAATCACCATAATTAAAACATTTTAGAACCCTGACCGGAGTGTTTCCAGTTCACAGTGTGGAGATTCCAGTCCTCGGCACAGCACTTCCACTCCTGAATCCTTCAAGTCATTGTTACTCAGGTCCAGATCTCTCAGACTAGAGGACTGGGAGCTGAGTACTGAGCAAAGAGCTTCACAGCTTCTCTCTGTGAGGTTGCAGCCACTAAGTCTGGTGAGACATCAAAAGAATCTTGAGATATTGTTTTTTCTTTGCTAGTGAATATATAGCAGTGTATTTAAAGCAAAAGAGTTTAAAACTTACAGAGCTTTTTCAGAAGCTTTGACGATGGGCAGCAGCCTCAGAAGAGCCTTCTCTGAAGCAGAGTATTTCTTCAGGTCAAACACATCCAGGTCATCAGATGACAGTAGGATAAAAACCAGAGCTGACCATTGAGCAGGAGACAATTCATTTGTAGAGAGACTTCCTGAATTCACGGACCTTTGAATCTCCTCCACTAGAGAACAATCATTCAGTTCATGTAAACAGTGGAAGAGGTTAATCTTTTGCTCTGCAGACAGACTCTCACTGAGCTTCTTCTTGATGTAATTACTTGTTTCCTGATTTGTCTGGGGATTAATTCTTGTCTGTTTCAGGAGACCTTGTAGGAGATTCTGATTTGTCTGCACTGAAAGACCCAGGAGGAAATGCAGAAATAAATCCAGGTGTCCTTTTGTGCTTTGCAAGGCCTTGTTCACAGCGCACTGATAGAAGTGATTCTCTGTCTGGGTGTTTTTTTGTTGTTCTTCCAGCAGATTGACTCCAGA